GGGACCCCTTGTCGGCTATCACTTACACGACACCTGATGCCTTTCGCGCCTTTCAAGTGCTTTGCAAGTACATAACTTGTCGATGCTAGTACCTGCTGAGGGAGGTTTCGTTTTGCCTCCCGTTACTATCTCAAATTTCCTGGCTTGCCATGAGCCAGGCAAGTACTGATCAGTTGTTGAGGGACAAGATGTACTGAGAGTTTTGCGGAATTCATTGCCCCTGTCTCACCTCTTCTCATACGGCCTCCATGGCCACACGAGTTGCGCAACAGGTTGCTTCCCTCTTCTTGGGGTTTTTGTGTTTTGTTTGGTTTGGTTGGTTTTTTTGGTTTCTTCTGTTTGGATTGCAACCTGTATAGTAACTCCTTCTTAACTCGACCAAGGTGACTTGTGCAGAACCTGCACACATAGCGCCTCGACTCGTGCAAAAAAAGGCCCGTTCCTTGCTGTTGTGCAGTAGTCTCCAGTCACCTGACTGTTGCCCTTCTGGAATGACCAGCCATTCTGGCGTTGGAGTTGCGTCCAGAGCAAGCCAAACATCAGCCATTCCTGGCCGTGTGGCCACGAAGGTGGTTTCCGTCCTGCAGGCACGAAGCTTCAGCTGTCAGAAGGTATGACTTACTGGCCAAGACAAGACGTAAGCGCCTCACCTTTCCTCTATATATTCTGCCAGGCAGACTGGAAGTGAGCTAATCCTTAGATCATGTGGTAAGAGCGCCTTCTGGAGGGCTGTTGTAGCTTTACTAACTTGGATTGTCTGGCTGTCTGGAGTTTGGCTATAAAGCCTTTGCCGAATGCAGCTCCTTGCAATGGGTATATGCAGTTGAGGGAGTTGCCAATCAATTTTGTAGCACCACCAAATTTGGACATTACCTCTTTCGAGATTGTATAAACCTCGCCAATTTTGTCCTGCGAGAGGCTGTTCCTCCACACATGTTGCCAGAGCGTATTAACGCCAGCCAGCACAGGGTTGCCTCAGCTCCACGGGGATAAGCACACTTCACCTCACTCAGGACTTCCATGTGATGGGGGCGCATGCTTGTGACAATTGTCACCTGCTGCAGAAAGTCGACATCTCGAGCACAAAGATTGAAGAAATCCAGGAACTCACTTTTGTGCACTGCACTAGTCTTTGTGAAGTCAGTCTGCCACCCACGCTCCATACCATTAGGGTAAAAGCTTTCATGAACTGTGCTGCATTGCCAGAACTCGCCATACCGCCCTCATTGCGCTATATTGCCAGTAGAGCCTTTCTGGACTGCACTGCACTCCGGAGACTGGTCAAACTCCCAGGCCGGCATAAATGGAGGGGAATCTATGCAGAAGAAAATGTTTTTGCCATCTGTCCGGCTATGAGATGGCCACCTTGGCTACATATGATCCCTGACACAGGACACGTGTCCGGATTAGCCTGAAGTGCACTTCTCTCACTCTGCAGATGCCCTTGCTTGGACAGTACCGAGCAAATCAGTTGCAAATTCTTCGTAACCATAAAAGATGAGATCAAGAGTACCTTCGCGGCAGCTTTTCGCCACCGCCCAGTTGACATCATCCTCATTTGCTCATGATCCCTGATAGCGGTTACGTGGTTGAAGCAGGAATCCGCATTGTGGGTGAGGCTGCTTGGTGGAGCTGTCAGCGACTGCAGGTGGTCCACTTGCCAGACACAGTCGTCTGCCTGCAGCATGGAGCGTTTCGCAGATGTTACCTGCTTCGAGCTGTGATGGCCCCAGGCAATTCGGTATCAAGGTCTTGAGGCATGTTGCTCTCTAACGCAAATAGGGGCAACTAATCACACTAGTAACCAGTCAGCCCCGCAAGCACAATTCCGGCCTCGAGCTTTTGAGAAATGTACGGCCTTGCGCCACCTCAATCTGGAAATGACAAAGTATGACCCCACTAACCCAAACCGATGCTTGCCTGAATGCTGCTTCTTGGAAGCAGGCATCGTCTCGATCTCTGCCGCCAGATTTCACGTGGGTTGGGCCTGCAGCCTGTGAACGTTGTCAACGGCTCCAGATCGTTGACCTGTCCCGAACGGACATTCCTGAAATACTGGGCTCTACCTTTGCGCACTGCTCGCAACTGCAACAGCTCAGACTCTCTCGAAACTTGCGAAGAATAGAGCAAGAAGCATTCCTCCAGTGCGCCTAGAAAGAATGTCAGAAGATATGGCCCAAAGGATGTCAGAAGAGATGTCAGAAGATATGCCAGAAAAAATATCAGAAGATATGCCAGAAAATGGCAGAAGATATGCCAAAAACATGGTGAACAAATGTTTCATGACATGCCAAAAAACTTGGGATCACTCGAAGTGAAGTAATTTTTGAAAGCTGTGTGAAAAGTTTTTTTTTTTGCAGCGTTTTGTAACCAGTATCGGAGGAAGCGAGATGGAGGTGGTTCGCCATTGAGCTAGTAGTAGACTGTGAACAGTTTTCTCGAATGATCGGGTGTGTGTGTGTGCATGGATCCCAGCACGGATACTGTCTGAGTGGCAGTGAAGAAGTGGCTCTTGGAGTTGATTGGGAAATGAAAGGATCGCGAACGTGTTGACGGATGATGAAGTTGCAGTTGGAACAGTTTTCTTTCACCTAGGTGTTGGAAAAAGATGTGAAAGGTTTCAAAGGCCCACCCACAGTCTCAAGCTATGAATGGTCCAGAAAGATCGGTGAGAGCCATCAAAGCATCGATTTTTTGTGCGTGTCGGAAGAACTCAGAGAGAAGGGGTTGGAAATCTGTGATTGTGAAAGGCGGTTGCAGTCGCACTGGAATTTGTTTGTTTCATGATGAACATGCATGCTTCCGTCATGGTTTGGCTAGTAAGAAGATGTCATGGAGCTGTTGTGCTTTGTGAGCTATCCAGTTCGTTGCAGTCGGAGATAAGACCCAGATTTCTGGATGCGTACTTTCTTGGTTGTTGGAGTTGTGAGAGAGGATTGGTCCTGCCCTTAAGGTGAAACCGCTCCGGATGGCAGTGTTCCCCACTGCCAGCGGACCGCTGGACTTCAACCGCCAGAAAAAATGTCAAACAATATATGCCAGACAGACTGTCAGAAAAAATGTCAGCAGATATGCCAGATAGAGTGCCCGAATGAATGTCAGAAGAGATGCCAAAAAAAATGGCAGAAGAACATCAGATATGCCAGAAAGAATGTCGGAAAAAACGTCAGAAGATATGCCAGAAAAAATTGCAGAAAGACGGCAACTGCCAGCTCCCGACGGCAGTGTTCCGGACGGCAGTGTTCCTCGCGGGACCCCAAACACCAGTTCCGGACGGCAGTGTTCCCTCAACCGCCAGTGACTTCATCCGCGAGTCAGAAGATATGCTAGATAGAACGCCAGAAAGAGTGTCAGTTCTTGAACTGTTTTATGCATTTTTGAGTGCTTTAAACTCCATACCATACCTTTGGTATCTCGCATGGGAATCGCTTGTTGCAGGCCTGTTTCATAGCCTTTTGAACTCTACTTGTTTGGCTCAAGTGCACGGAAAAAGAGTGCGATGCGTTTCCTCTGCTTTTGAGTCGTGTGTGTACATAAACGTTTGGAGTCTACTCACTTAAGGTGGTAGGTTTTTCACGCACATGCGTCACATGCACCACATTCGCCATGCCAACCTGATTTTCGACCAAGACGAGGGTCGTCTCAGACGCTTCTGACCTGAGGTGGCCTCAGTCCAGATCCTTTTCGGCTTTTAGAGAGCGATGTTCTGTGTACGACCTGGCTGACTGCACATCATGTGTAACTTGCAAGAATTGTGGAGTGCCCACCCACACCATGGAGGTCATTCGGAGGGTGGATGCCATCTATCCACAAGGAACCAGCGTGTGTTGAGCGTTTTGGAGAATGGAGGGATGATTGGTGCTGTGAGTAGAGTAACACTGGTGTTTTTTGGCAAACAACGGAAATGGAATCCTGTGCTGCACGGTTGGTGATTCAGCCAAACTGCATTTTGGCTCCAGTTGGGCGCTTGAGCCCATTAGCAGTAAGCCACGATGGGTGCCACCATGAGTTGCCAGGACGAAGGGCGAATGCAATGGGTAGTGGCCATGGGGCCATTTGTGAGGCCGGGGCAGAGGGCTGATTGGGGAGAAATGCTTTTGCCTATGCAATTTTTTTACTGTTTGGGGGAGAAGGGTTTCAGTGTCTGGTCTCCTTACACGCGGGACGATGTGTTTGATCGCCATATGGGCCATGATCATGCACTCAAAGGAAAACATGTGCGACCGGTTCCGGTCCAGCCGGAATTTTCGTTGACCGCAAGGGCCGGTCAACCTTGGCTGAAATTGGCAGGCCTTGCGGTGGAGAAGTTGTGGGTTGAACCATGCCAAGCATTTTTGACCAGTTGTGAAACCTTTAGAGGCCCTAAAATTGGATGAATTGTCTCAGGGGGCGAACACATGTTGTGGGTCCATCGGTTGTAAGTCTTTCGACCATTCACAACACGTATATAGTAAAGTTTCAACTGGCCTGGCGGCCATCCATAGTCCGGATGATTCCACGCATGGGGAGGGGCTGCCAAGCTGCCAAGCTGCCAAGTGTGAAGATTGCCACACCCAAATCTCTTTTTCACATACGCTGCCACCGGGCCGAACTGGCACTGGCACTTGACGGCGGGTCCGCCAGGCGAGGCCGGCCAGGCTCGTCACAGGCCGGCCAGGCCGAGTTCGGCCGAACTCGGTTTGACGTGGAGTTGACGACCCGACCCCGGGAACCGCGGTCCGACAGGGACGGTAGAAGCCTTCAAGGTTCGGAGCCAAGGTGCAGTCGTTCCTTTGTCTTTTTCAGAGATGGTTGGCGTCCAGGTTAGGAGCCGATCTTCCCCAAGGCATTTCCCAAGGCATTTCTCCGCACTCGCACGGAGCCGTCCGTTGGGACGTTTTGAACTCCAGGAGCTTGGCGGATCAGGCGCCCCGACGATGGCGGAATGCAGGGAGGGTTCCTGTCAGATTGCGAGGTCAGCTGCTAGGGCATGAGCCGGGCATGATTCATTTTGAAGCTGATTGCAACTGAAAGCTGCATGGATTCATGGATCGGAGCTTTTTGTCTGTGACCCTTTGGGCTCAGATTCGCAGTGTCCGCCCACCCGTCGTCGGGCCGCGGCACCCGGCCCACCGCCATGAGTCGGGGGGGCCCAGATCGAGTTCCGTCGGCGAGTGAGATGGTTCGGTGCGGGTTTGACCGAGAACCTCGGTTCAACAGGGACAAACGGCTTCCCCCCAGTCTGAACACACATGAACACCACACGAACATACACGAACGCAAGGAAGCACGGAATGCCTAAGCCCAAACCTCGGATCAAAAAGAGGCCCGAGCAATTCAGGTTCAAACATGCATGTTTACTGACCTCGGATATGTAAAACAGCCTGGGCACCTCTACAAGTGGACTGTAGTTATAACATTCACAACCACTAGCGCAGGTATGTCAAAGGGATGTCTCCCTGGGCCGTCTTCACTGTGAACAGCCTGGGCCGTCTTCAAGTCACCCCTGTGCCCCTTGCGAAGTCTGATACAATCCGAAAATACCCATGACTGAGTGTACACACATGAACGGTTTGAACACACAACTGAGTGAAACATCGGGACGCTGAGGTTCCAGGGTTGGAGCACCTCTTCGGCAGGCAAAGCGAAACGAAAAAACTTGGAGAATCAGAGTGGCAAAAAGGGTTCCGAGGGATGCCAGATATTTTGGTGTCCTGCGAAGTTTGGTATGTTCTTTGGATAGACCGCCTTCGATCTTTGTTCTTTGCTGTTTCTGGACGTGGAAAGCTCTGGGATTTGCTCTAGGCAATCAGATTGAACCTGGCTATTGTTGAACAGTTTGGCCAGGGCTAAGCAAAAATCGTTAGAGTCCATCCTTGTCTTTGCCTTTGGCGCCCATCCGGTCCGAAGGGGCGTCGGGCTGAAAAAACCAAGTGCCCATGCACATCCCTGCCGTTGACAACCGACAGGTCCAGAGGTTTTGCTGAAAGCCCTCCGAACCTGCCTTGTTCAATACAAACACGTTGGCACGTAAAACGAAGCAAAAGATCTTGCGATTGCAAGCCTCCAGACTCCAATCGGGTCACTTGCTTCAGGAGAATGCCGGGTGTGCAATCACACCGGTCGAGCAAAAACAAGGAGCGCAGTCCCAATTTTGGGATAAAAGTCACCCCTTGCAAAGTGGGCCAAACGAAACACGGAAGCGAAGAGACTTCTGCCTGCCGTGATGAACAATCAGGGCTTCGCACTGGTCAAGAGGGCCACTGTCATGTTGGAAAACCTAGCAGTACCTTGGCCCTCAAAGCATCTCTGAAAAGGGTCAGGGTCTCGAGCCTTCATAAGTTGCTCCGTTGCCAATCAATCATTGTCAATGCCTGCATCCTCGAGGGATACGTCTTTCCCCCAAAAAACAACTGCGCGAACATTCGCGGGACGTATTTGACATCTCTCGGCAGGTCCCGAGGTCGTTGGCGATCCAGGCTTCTCTATCAAAGAAATTCCGCGCAGACTCTTCAACACATTGAGAATCAGAGTGGCAAAGGGGTTCCGAGATATGCCAGATATGTGTATGCCCTTTGTAGTTTCGGATGTTCTTTCGAGAGACCTTTGATTTGAGCAAATTGAAAACAAAAAGAATGAAAGAAAGGAATTTGACAAAGCACTTGCTGATTTTGGCCTCAGAATGAGTTGTCTAGAAATCGCTGGGTTTCTCCAGGCTTTGCCACCGGGTCTTTGTGCAGTTCTAGTGTTGGCATTTGGTGCAAATGCAAAGACGTGCTTGCCCAACGGGATTCCTGAGCAGAATCGACTCTATGTGTCGAATGCCACCGATCAACCGAGTCCTATCCGCTTCGTGACATATAACTGGGATTCCGCCCGGGTGATCAACCACGTGGCAGAGATTTTGGTCTCCGAAGTCTTGGGTTTCCATGTCTTACGAGATCCCGGCATCTTTTTCTGGGCGACCGATGGCATCTTGAAACTCGCAGGTTGTCATGACATGGCCTGTGCAGAGCCCAATGCAAATGCACCACGGGCAGATGTCTTGTTGGATACGTGGTTGGACACTGCGCTGTTGTTCTTTCACGAATTCCAAGCCAAAAATGGCCCGGTTGCTCCGGAAGACGTGGGTTCCATGGGTTACGAAGGAAGAGATGGACTGTATGTTACACAGGAAATCCGAAGGTTGGCTTTCGCTGACTCTGGCCTTCCCTTAGAATATTACACGAGCTACAACCTGTCCTTCCACGAACCTCAGAAATACTTTGACACAGTTTGGAGCTTGCCCACCACTTCTTTGTTGAACTGCACTGACACCTTCTATGGTCTACCCTTAGAATTCCGTGTGTCCAGCGCAATGCAGAATTATTTGCGGTGGACAGGAGACTCAGAAGGAGTCATCCAGCAGAATGGCGAATACTTTGCAAAGTGTTCAAGTGAACTACCTGCTTTTTGGATTGCGCCTTCATGCCGGCAGAATGTGTCACGATGCATCCCAGTGATTTGCCAGGGGCAGGGCAAGGCAGCATCTAGGCGGCATTTATGCGAGTGATCTCTGTTTTGTGTTCAAGATGTTTGTCTGAAATAGGTTCTATAGGACAAGAATCCTAGGCCTCAATCAGATAAAAATCAGGAAGTCTTCATGCACTGGGCGTCGGCCTACGGAATTCCTTTGGCAATTTCCCATCGGACAACTGCAAGTGCCTTCACGAACCTTGTGGACCAGTTCCGGTTTCTTTTTCAGTGGTATGAACCAGATACAACTCTCATCCACAAGGGGCCCACCCTGGTGATCCTGCCCGAGTACAGCCCCAGTGCCTGGGCTGCCGGAGACTTCCGGACAAGTGCAACTTCTTCGCACATCGCAAAGCTGGTTTCCCAAAGCCTGGAACTCTCTAGCCCAAGGGTGAGAAAGTTCATTGAGAACATGAAGATCGAACTGTCACAAGTGGTTGAGCTGATGGCACCCAATGGCATCTCGCAACACGATCCGGTGACTTTGCTCACCCCCAGTGATCTTCAATGGAATTCTGCCTGCAACTGGATCAAAGCCAACGGTCACCTTTGGCAGCAGTGGATTCCTGTAACGACAGACTGCGCCAGGGGTTTTGGCATCGTGAATGCCGATGCAACTCATGTTGCGCTTCGCAGCGAAGCTGTGGCCTGCGAGGTTTGTCCAGTCGGACGATTTTCCACCGTCCTCTCTGACGAGATCGGAACGACTTTCGTGTGTCGGGCGTGTGAAGCAGGTTGGCATCAGAGTGTTGCGGGGCAAACAAGTTGCTTGCCATGCAATCCGGGCAGCTTCACCGCTTTGACTGGGGAGGCACTTTGCTCTCCTTGTGAGCGAGGTAGTTATGGAATCTCTAGCGCAGCCACCAGCTGCTTGCCCTGTTCTAGCGGAGGGAACGAGCATTGGACAACAAGCAAGGAAGATGAAATGGACTTTAGATGGATAGAAGTGGAAGGAGCAACATCTCAAGATTTCTGTCACTGTCTTCCAGGATGGCATTTGTCCCCTGTCAGTGGAGATTGTGAACCTTGCATGGATGGATCTTCTTGTGTGGGCGGTGGAGTGTTGCAGCTGCTTCCAGGCTACTACTCTGCTAAGGGTCACTTGGAGGTGGTTAGAGTGACTAATTGAACAAGATAATAGACACCAATGTCAAGAAAGGCGGGAAACGTCCTAATGGTGTCATTTATTGACGGCCACGCACGCCATGCGAAAAATATCGAGAAACGGTCGCCTTGTGATTTTGGGAGAAGACCCTGAAAACAAAAGTGCAGAGGTTCTTGTTTTCAAGAGCCGAGCCAAAGCCTAACAAAAAAATTGTGAACGTGTAAAAAACAACGACGGTGCCGTCGGTGCTTTGCTTTTCAGAATGGTGATGGAACCACGTTTTCACATGTTGTTTTTCTTGAACTTCCTTCACTCATTGACCAAAACTTCCACTTGGGTCGCCCCCAATCGATGTTCATGAACGGCGCCCTCGTGCCGTTCATGAACGCCGAGGCTTGGGGTGGCCAAGTGGAAAATGGCGATCACTCATTGTAAAACGATCGACTGCATTCAACAAGATTCAATGTAGAGATATCATAAGCACGCAGGAGCAGCCTAGTTGACTTTCAAAAAGCAGTCACTTGCAGCCACTCGAGCAGCCACCTGCAGTCAGACCAAAGGCCAAAGGGACCAAGTGACCGCCGGTAGTGCCGCTGGTATCCACCGACCACGCCCGCGAGTGACCGCATGCGGAGCCTTCTGACAGGAAAATTGCTCCAGCGTGCGGAAGATATGTTGCACCTTCTTAGCCACAGCTTGAAAGATGCTGAAACTCCTGAAGCGCAGTCAACGGGGTCGCAAGTGGCTGCGTTCAGTGAGACAGCCACAGCCCTTGCTTTTTTTTTTGCCATCACGCAAACGATTATGCATGCACCAGGCCACGGCATGCACAACTTCAAACGGAACAAGACAACTGGAAACCAGGAGGGTCGAAACAGAAAGGACAACAAAGAGGGATGACTTGAGACGGAAAGAGAGGACTTACAACGAGAAAGGATAGCTCAAAAGGGAAAGAAACGGCTTGAAACCAAAAAGGGACGACATGGTTCGCGAAAATGGATGAACTGAAACGGAAAGGGTCGACTTGAAACAAATTGCAACAGAAAGGCATGCCGGCATGCAAACATTGCGGTCACTTGTTGTGAGATCCAGACAAGAGCGGCGATTGGGGTCACTTGCAGGCACTTGCATACACTGGGAACTCAATGTCTATGCTGCCCGTTGGGCATGCGTGACCACAAGTGACTGCTGCAGGATGTAACCGCCGGTGGCCGCAAGCGACTGCTGGAGCAAGCGAAAGCAAGCGCCCACAAGTAGTCACTGTCGTCAAAATTAACAAGAACACATCATTTGCACAAATTGTATATATGCTTAAAACAAATGGCTTGCTGCAACACCATGACACTACAACCGTGACTCAATGGCGCCTCTCAAGCTCCAGGTATATGCGGGGGGCTGCCGTGCTTGAAGCTCTTGCTACCTTCTCCTCCCTTTCTTCCACCTTGGCCTGTCCTGCTCACTGTCACTCCTCGATCTTCTTGCCACTCATTGCAGGCCTCTCTATAGGTCTGGTTCTTGGCATTGCTCTTGGTCTTTGGGCCTCTTGGATTCTTCTTAGACTTCACTCTCAGGCCCTGCATCCCCAACCTCCGGTGGTGGACGACAGGGTCAGGAGGAGGACCTCGAACAGATTGCAAGGCTATTTGCATGAGTGAGCAAGAATCTCTACGCCGTGACCTTCGTGACCTGGCCGCGGCTGTTCGTGAGTTGACATTGACCATGAGGAGCCGAGAGCTCTCAGGGGCGGAAGTGCGAGAAGATAGCGCTGAGCCAGCTAGGGCATCCTCTACCACTTCAGGTGGTTCCCATTGGGAGTTGGTTGAGAACGGGAAGGCCATTCCACGGGCACCTGCCCGCTTTTTGGTGAGGGACGCTCTCTTTAGTTTTGAGGAAGGGCCTCCTGAGGTTCCACAATTCTGTGTTGACTCTGCCAAACGTCATTTGACCTCGGCACGTGCAGATCCTGAAGAGAGAGCAAGGGCAGCTTTCGTCGCTGGCCATTGGGCCCGTGCTTTTTGGGTCTCAAGAGCCCCATACAGGAGCGCCTACCGTCCAGATCTCCCAGCAGCTTTTTGGATCTTGCAGAAGGGCCCAGGATTTGATCTAGTGAAGACTACCAGCCAGCGAGACTCAGATCTTTTTGAGCGAGAGTTTCCTGAGGTGAAGTTCATTGAGAAGGTGCCTTCGTTGACTGAGCTCCACATTTTCTGTGCGGGCGCCAAGGTCCCAGTTCCGCCCTTGTGGCGATGGACCGGCAGCAAATAGTTTTCGCTTCAGAAGCTTCAGATCCTTCCCTGCTCATTTTGTCAGTTCCTTCATCGCACAGTTCGACAGGGGATGAGATCCAAGGATTTTGCACGCCGCTTGATGCACGTAGAGGTGGCCTACTCCTGGCACTTCCCTGTGGTTTGCTCAGAGAGGACGTTCTTCACCCTCCTGGTGGATTCACAGAGGAAGATTTGGTGGGGCCATCAAATGAATTCGAGGTTGACATGATAGAGGAGGATGAACTTGGGAATGCTTTTGCTTCTGGTTTCAATTGTTCCATCCTCGTGGCAGATTTCACGAATAGTGCCCTTGGGCTTTTGAGAGAGTATGATCCCGTGACGGACTCCACGACAGAGATTGTTTCTTTTGTGGATGGCTCACCATCTGCGATGCCTTCTGCTCTTGAACTGCTTACGTTGGCTTTGTCCTGGGCACACTCAGCAGATGGCAGAATCCATTTTTACAGTGCTCGAGAAGAGCCGCCAGCATCCAAACCCGCCGCTCCGAAGAAGGCCGGTGTCAAAAGAGTGACCACAGCAATCCTGGCCGAGCAGCTCAATGCACTCTCAGCTCAGGTAGCTCTTTTGGCTTCAGAGAGGGAAGAACAAAACAAGCAGCCGGTCCCTCCTCTCCCCACCAGACCGCAGGCCTTTGTCGATCCTGCTACAGGGCGAGGAGATTTGGGACCAGCAGTTGCTCAGCGCAAAATGCCCCCTCTTTCACAGGGTCTTGCCACTCCAGCCAGAACCACCCCGGCCAAAGCACTCCAGCTGTTGGGGCCCCCTCCAAAGACCAGGATGTCTCCCCTTTCCATGGCAGTTTTGGCAGACGAGCCCCGGACCCTTTGAGACCCCCACCAGCCCTACAGAGCAGGCCCTGACCCAGCAGTCGGCAGCCTTAACAGCATTGGTGTCTCATCTCATTCAGGGCAACGAAGACCCGTCCAGCAGCTCCGGAGTTTGTTCGAGTTCTACAAAAGGCACGCAAAAGCGAGCGCAACTGCAGCATGCTCTGGCCGTAGGCCAGTCCAACTTCTTCATGATGCTCCAGCAACAGTTGTGCAGGAGATTGCAACCATCCAACACGGTTCCCAAGACAGAAGAGGAGCTCAATGCCCGAGCTCCCTCTCTGCTGACTTACCTCGAAAGGTATGGTGGCTTCAAAGGGCAGAAAGAGGCGGGTCTCATGATGTGGGTGATCGGGCACGCAGTCGATGCGGCAGCTCGGGGCGATTTTCATGCAACCCGAGAGTTTTTAGCGTTGGCAGTTATGGGACTAGAGCAGTCTGCCTTCGATGCGGGAAACTGGGACTTAGCATTCGTCCTGACTTTGACAGGAGATCCGCCAACGGCCTTGTTCCAAGATCGGATGACATCAATGACATCTTCAGCCAGTCCTTTCTCACCATTGATCCCATCCAACTAGCAAGCATTTCATTGGCCTATTTGAAGGAGATCGACTTGCTTCAGAACAGGAGGCAGGAGACAAGGGTGAAGAAGGGCCAACAGCAGAAGGAGGAGGAGGGATCTCCGAGCCCTCGCCGGAAGCCAAAGTTTCCAAAAAGGCCAAAAGCCATCGCGGATGGCCAGGCCTGAAAATACCAGAGCATACAGAATGCAGCCCTGTTCCGATGTGGACAGGCACCCTGTGCAAGTCTGTTCCGGAAGGGACCTGCCTGGCTCCTGCTTGCCTTCTTTGAAGGTCGGTGGTGAGCCTACAAGGCCTTCCAGCTCCCCATTGCCTGGGACCAATCCCTGGACGGATTCTTTCTCTCCTGAGGAGAGGGCTGAGGCCGGGTCGAGCCAGTTTGGTGTGAGCATATCCAGACAAGTGAGCTATTCATCGTGGCTTTCAAAGCTTACTAAACTGGTGCTACGTGCGAGGAGTCCTTTTTCGGCATTTTTGGCTTTTTCCATCCAAGTTTCTATGCAGTCCGCTCCTCGGCCTGCAAGGACACCGCCTTTGTTCCCTGTGCCGATCCCTTCCTTGGGGGTCTTTAGCAGGATGCCCGATGGCCTTTCTAGCGCTCGACGAAGATCGAGGCATCTATCAAGGGCCCTCCATGTTTGTTGTATGGCATTAAACTTTTGGTATGGTGGAGGTGTCTCCTGTGAGAAAGAGCTTCTTCGGAGGGAGCCAAATTACCCTGCTCATCGCCGACTATACAGCAGATTGCGCTCCTTCATCAAGGCGGACGGCCTGTTATTGAAGTTTGACATGCTTCGTGCGGGCCGACGACATCCAGAATTAGTTGCAAGACTTTCTGAGTTGACGTCTCTTCTTGTGAAGTTGGGATGTTCAACTTCGCCCTACGACAAGGCTTATGTGGGCTATGAGGTCTCAGCCGACAACTCAGTGCTTCCAGAGCTGGAGCCTTATCGGGACCTAAATCCCTCCAGGCTTAATTTCTGGTGCTGGTCAATGGGACGTCACTTCCTATTTGTCAGACCAGCTGGTTATGGCTTATCGAGAGCCGGCTTCTATCTGGATTGACCGAGTTCCAGAGGTTTGGGAGTATCCTCAGATCCGGGATCCTCCGGAGACCGTTTGCCAGCTAGCAAAGTTGTGGGACATCCATGGACTTCTTTTCCTCCATCATGAGAAGGTGATTGAGAGACCATCTTTTGAACTGGTCAGGGTATTCAACTGCTACAAGTCAGCCGAGATCGACAGACAAATCGGAGACAGGAGAGGTCGTAACAGTGTGGAATGCAAAGTTGATGGCCCTTCTTCAGACCTACCGGCAGGGCCAGACATCTGTGACTTGGCCATAGACTTGAAGACGCAGAGATTGGCTCTTTCGGTTTCTGATCGAAGAGATTTTTATCATCAAATCTGGGTGACGCAGGCTCGTGCAGTCTCCAACACTTTGGGGCCTGGTTTGCCGACGGATTGGTTGAAGGACACTGAGGCTTATGGCCATCTCCTCCTTCGTGATGCAGTGAAGACTCATGGAGACAGACTTGGAGTGGAAAAGCCAGCTATTGCTCGCAAGCATCCTGTGCTTTGGGTTGCCTTCAAGAGCGTTTTGCAAGGAGACCATGCAGGTGTGGAGATTGCTACAGATGCTCATTCCAACTTACTCCAATCCTTTGGTTTGCTGGACGCGGACACTCGGATGAGGGCATCTTCACCCTGTTTTAGCAATCACTTGGTCGAAGGGCTGGTTATTGATGACTACTTCGCAATTTCTGTCGACCCAAAAGGTACAACGGATGATCAGACGTTGTCAGCAAAAGCCTATGACAAAGCTCACGATGCCTATGGTCATGCCCGCCTTCAGGGCTCTCCTGAGAAGGACGTGAAAGGGGCGCAAGAAGGGAAAGCAATTGGTGCCTATGTGAACAGTAGCGATAGAGCCATTGCTGCAGGAGTGTGTACAATTGGAGCCCCTCCTGAGAAGAGGTTAGCTTTGTCAGCATTGACTTTGGAGCTTTGTTCTACGCCCTATACTACTGTTTCTCTTCATCGGTGCCTTCTTGGTGCATGGGTTTCTACCCTTCTTTTTCGGCGCCCCATGATGTGTCTTCTGAATGAGAGCTTTAGATTGGTTGCATGCAGCCTATGAGGACCTGCCAGATTTTGCTATGGATCCCCTTGCCTAGAGCAGTCGCTACAGAGTTGTTGTTGGTTGCGACTTTGGCTCCAATGATTGTGACCGATATTGCAACGCCCTTGTCAGAAGTATTGTATGCGACCGACGCTTCTGAAGAGAGGGGGGCGATCATTTCTACACCTGTTTCAAGAGAGACTACACTACTGCTGGCAAAGTGCTTCAAGACGAAAGGAGCATATACTCGCCGCCTACAGAGTGGTTGGTCTCGTTTGATGCAGAAGGTTGTCATTGCCGAGGACTTGCCTGAAGAAGAAGTGCTATGTTCTCCAACAAGGCCGCTTGCGTTTTCTTTTGAATTTATAGAAGTATTCGCTGGGTCTTCCAAGGTGACAAAAGCACTCAGTGCGTTGGGGGTGAAGTGTGGCCCGCCATTGGATATTAGCAAGTCGGAGGAATACAATCTGGCTGCAGTTCACGTCTTAGCATGGCTCTTTCATTTGGTAGAGCGGGGCTCGCTGCGCGCGTTCATGTTGGAGCCTCCCTGCACCTCTTTTTCTATCATGCGGCGACCTCCTCTACGATCTGTTTCCAAGCCCTACGGCTTCAATGTCCAGGATCGACAGACCAGAGATGGAAACATTCTCACGCTGAGGTCTCTACAGTTGATGAAGAAGGCTCAGGTGCATAGAGTGATTGGCCTCCTTGAACGACCTTTTTCAGCCAAGACAAAGCATCTCCCTCCTTATCAGGCGTTGATGAAATGCCTGGAGTCAGTGAGATACGTGCAGATTCGTGTCAGTTTGGGTCAATCCACCAGAAGTCTCCACAACATATCAATCTCTTGGAGCTCAAGTCAGTTGAAAGGCTTGTAGAGAAGAAGGCAAAGCAGGGTTCACTTCGTTTTGCCTGTCTGGTCGACTCCAATGTACCCAGAGGAGCTTTGGGGAAATGCCGCTCAGCTTCCTTGGCAATTTCAAACGTGCTCAGACGAATCTCTGCCATGTTGGTTGCTTTCGGGCTTTATATGGTCAACCCCTTTTGCCCTACACGACTCAATGCCGCGGATGATCCTACTCGACACAGGGATTTGAGAGATCCTGTGCCGGGTTTACAATGGAGAGGATTGTCTCCTGAAAAGCTTTGGGCTATTGCACAACTTCCACGTGCTCGTCGATGGGCATCTAACTGGATTAGGTTGATCCTACTCCTTTGTGGACCTGATATCCATCAGTGGTCTGATCGTTCTCGTCTTCGTTTCTCTCGAACTGGAGATCCAGTACTATTCCAACCGCATGGGGCCGCTTTGCCCTGTCCGGATTTTGTCTTCGAGTCGTCGCACTTTGATTCCACCCTTGGATTCCCAGGTGAAGGCCCTTGCATTGGGGTAGTCTTTGGTCTTCTTCTCATCTCGTTTTGGACTCCGGGCTTGGATTGGGCCTTTATCTCATTTGCTCTCTCTTTTGCCCTTTGCTTTCCTCTTTCCCTCCGGTGTGCCTCCTTCTTGACTTGCTCCCCCCTGGGCTGCTTTGTGCTGTAGTCGGTAGTGCCCTTTATTTACCCGGCGCCGGTGCCATGGAACCTCAAACTGCTGCAGAGATCAACAGAGCACGCCTTCGGTCGTTGAGGCCGGGGCTTCCTGAAGGTAGGCCCACTCTCAAAAAAAGAACCAACAAGCTAAGGGACAAGTACTGGCCCGTGTTTTTGCAATGGTTGAGCAATGAGGGCATTGATTTCGAACGTCTTTTGGAGCAACATGTATTTTATGTGGATGAGATTAACATCGTCTTGACACGTTTTGGAAGAGCTTTGTATCGTGCTGGTCGCCCATACAACCAGTACGCCGAGACTACAAATTCCTTGACTACTAGGAAACCTGCGCTGCGTAGGCAAATGCAAGGGTCATGGGACCTTGCTTATTCATGGGTAGCTGCTGAACCTTCCTGCCATCATGTGGCTATGCCTTGGCAGGTTTTGTTGGCTATGGTAACTACTTGCTTACTCTGGGGATGGGTACCCCTAGCCGGAATCTTAAGTCTTGGCTTTGGTTCTCTCCTTCGCGCCGGCGAGTTGTTGTCAGCAACCAGGGCAAATCTGTTGCTACCCCAAGATGTTGAAGAGACGATACATTTTTGTAGCCTAAGACAAAACATTCAGGTGCTCGACACCAAGCTGCAAAACTTGAGGTGCCTGATTTGATACAGGTTGTCAACCTTGCCTTTGTTAAGTTTCCTGCTCATGCACGACTTTGGGCATGGTCAGGGCAAACACTTCGACAGAGGTTTAAGGATGTGCTGTCGGCTCTTTCTTTGCCTACAGAGCGGCACGGAGACCTCAAAGCTTTAGACTTGGGTTCACTCCGCGCAGGCGGAGCGACGTGGCACTTGATGATGACAGAAAATAGTGAATACACACGCCGGAAAGGCCGTTGGCTGAGTTCACGTGTGATGGAGATATATGTTCAAGAGACAGCGGCTCTCTTGTTCTCGAAAAGAGTCCCAGCTGACACCAAAGAAAAGGTTTTGGCAATTGCAGGCCTTTTTCCACGTGTTTTGGCAACTGCTTTACGGTTTGAACAATTGCAGCTTCCACACCACGTGTGGCCTGTTCTCTTTCGCCAGGAAGAGCTTTGAGAGTATGGGAGTGATGGGCATGGCTGTTGATGGCCTTGATGGCCCTACTTGGCAACAGCTTGTGAACATGAGCTGGATGGAAAAAGAGCGCCAGCAGTTGAACTGTTGACACTACAACCGTGACTCAATGGCGCCTCTCAAGCTCTACCCGCCCTTGCAACCCTCCCTCACCTGGCGAACGAGGGGCATGGCTGTTGATGGCCTTGATGGCCCTACTTGGCAACAGCTTGTGAACATGAGCTGGATGGAAAAAGAGCGCCAGCAGTTGAACTGTTATATACTTTTGATTAGTTTTGTGTATATATAATCAACGAAACACCCAAAGCGACACAGAGACCTGCCTTGAGGTTCACCAGGTTCGGTACTCCGTTGCTTCGGTGATGCAGCTCGCTGCCCTGGCGGAGATCCGGGGACCTGTGCGGCGGGGAGGGATAGCTCCTCACCCAGTTGCAGCTTGTGCTTGCCAGGTTTGCAACCCAACGGCGCCTTAGATGGAACAAACTTATCCTTTCTGTTAGAAGCGTGCAATCCCCTAAAGAAATAATATGTATATATTCTAATATATGGCTTTGGCGGTTTTGGGTTCAAGGGTATGTATGGTTTTTCAACTGTTCTGTGATTCATGTCCACTTCAGCTCTGGGTCAACATGTCCAAAAAACATCCCAAGGCATCCAGTTCAGAAATGAATGGCTCGAGCAGATCCGGTCACGACTTAAGTGCTTGATGACCTTCCGTCATGCACACACAAATATTGTGGTCTAGTCTTTTGTCAGGGTGGCCCTGTCAGTTTTGCCTTGAGAAGACTTTGTAGAAGTGCTTTGAAGTTTTTCAAGCGTGCTCAGTACCCAGGTCCAGGCTGTGTCGAATGCACTGGAGGAGACTATGTCACTTGAACTTAACTTTAGATGTGTTTCGCCTTCGCAACAGTTTGCAACTCTTTCGTTGGTTCATGGGTTCACGAATGGATCTGGCTTTGTTTGGCTCGGCTCCTTGGTTTTGGAAATCAATTTGTTTCGAAGGAAAACATTTGTCAGGCTCAGCTAATATTCTTGGGGCTGCTGATTTTGACTCTCACGGGGCTCTCGCACATCGTGATTGCATTGCAGCATCAGAGCAGTGGTGTGCTGCATTTCCGACTCTTGGCCTTGGCCTTGTGCATGAATCAACTCATCACTTGCTCTCAACTCTTCTCCGTGATGGAGCAAGTGCAGGGGATCGTCTTGGAAGAACCTTTCGTGACTTGGACCCTCGAGAAGACCAGATGAATCAACCGTTTTCATCAGACAATACAGTTCTTCACAGATATGCATGAGGTCGGAAACCAAGCCCACTCGAGAGGTGTGCACCGTTCCAATGTGCTTCGCGAGAATCTTGGTGTTTGTTTTGAACGAAACCACATGTCCAGTGAACAGTTTTTAACGATTCCCTGGTTTGGTTCAATCAGCCGACAGACTGACCTGAGGTGAGTTTTCTCGAATTCTTCTCATTTCTATCGTTGGAGGCAGTCCTTGGCTCGGTGCGAAGCATCAGCTGTGTCACTCGTGTCAGTGCAGAAGTGAACTTGCTGATCCGGACGTTGTTGATACCATGTTTCTTCGCTCTTGGGCCTTTGGTGGCGCAAGTGGTACTTCGAGCCATTCTTGCCGTCCCCAAGATCACTTTGCCAAAGACCTTTGGCTTTCTCTCCTTGCTCTTCTACATCACCCTCTCCTCAACATTTGTCGAGCCATTTCGCTGCAATTTGCATCCCAACGGCTTGCGAACCCTACAGACGCGGCATGAGGTCTTTTGCAACTTCTCAGGAACTCATCTGAACATGTGCGTGATTAGCTTTGTGGTGTGTATTCCACCAGTGGGTTTCCTCGCCTTGTGCTCCTATGTCTTGTTGGTGATGTTCCCACGTCGTGTCAATGACGCGGATGCTCACTTTGTGCGAACTTGCTCGTTCTTGATCACACGCTTCAAGCCCGGCTGCGAGAACTTCACCATCGTTTTCCTGTTCCGAAACCTGATGTTCGTTCTTGCACCGATGATGCCTGCATCAGGCACGTTGAATGACAAGCAGCAGTTCATACGTTCATTTATTCAATGATTTTTCACGTTTCTTCCATTTCGAAAGGTTGCCTCTTTGTGATGGGTATCTTGTTGGTGACGAGCATCATATTGGTCGCCTACTTTCAGCCTTGGCGTTCTTCGGTGGCTTCGCAGCTCGACATAGTCGTCCAACTGATGCTCTTGATGATCTTGTTGCTGAACTCCCTCACAGTGCAAGATGTGAATGTGCAGCTCATCATGATCCTTTGCACACTTTGTGCCTCTTCACTGATATTTGGTATTCTGGCGACCACGGTATACTTCCTGGTGCAATTTGTTGCGTCCAAGTTCCGCAAGAGGTTTGCCTTCTTCTTGTGTCATCAAAGGGGGTCCCTTCAACTTGAGTTGAGATATGTTTCTTTTCGAAAAAAAAAAATATATATATATATATATGTCTTTTTTAAATGTTGTTCAAGTCACAGTGTTTCCTTTGTGTAATGAATGGTCTGAAATAAAAGCTTGGCTAGCCTCGAAGTGGAATCAGTGGAGTCCAGACATGTTTTTTGTGCAACTCGAGGTCGAGCTCTGGCTTTGTGCGACTCCTCAAGATGGAGCTGAAGAACAAAGGGTGTTCCTCTTTCGTGGATGCTGACAACCTCACTGATCTATCGCAGCTCTTCCGCTTTGCGACTTGGAGGTTTGGAAAGGACGAGACATGGTCACTGCTCATCCCAAATCATCCAAAATCGGATATCCTTTGAGGAACAGTAGGGAAAAGTTGATTTGGAACCATAAGTAGAATAGTATCATGAAATATGTCCTGTATACAATAGTCTCAGATGTGTTATTGATTTCATTGGTTCTCATCTGAACTGTGTTTGTTGGACCTGAAATTCATGGACTCCATGACATGTGAGCGGACCTTTGGCTCAGCTTTTCGCACATCCGATGCCCCTGATTTCCCAAGATGGCCAATTGAGCCATTTGTTTCATCTGCGCTTGAGCATCGCACGATGGGCTGTTTCGAGTCGGCCGCGCAAATCGAGAAGTTGCTACGCACGAACTTTGTCGTGTTGGTAGCGGGCAGGTGCTAACACCTCCGTCAGAGCCTTGTCGAGCCAGGACCTTGCTGGATGTGCCTTTGATGTCACTATGACAGGCTTGGCTTCTTGGCAGCCGTTGGACGATGGCAGTGCTTGCAATGAGAGAGCTATGAGTATGAGAGTGCAGAGTCCAGCTCATGGCTGCCAGCTCGAGACGACATCCATCATCGTCCACGGGGCTCTTGAAGTACCTCCGGGTCACACCCTATTTCCTTTTCATGGCAACAGGTGCACAAAGCCCCATGGCCCTAAAGTATCTCCTGATCTTGAAGTATTACCAGGCTCTCAAGTCCGACGAAGTGGCCAAGGAGCCGGAAGGACAAAGATTCACGAAGCGGATCTAGAGCAGGCAGCACTGGCCAATGCGCGCAGGCAAAGGCAAGCCCATGTCATGGACTATGTCACGGGCACCCAGATGCAGAGACGCCTGAGGCTGAGGAGGTTGAGGGCGACCATGCGCAAGAGCCCAATGAAGATGAAGAAGCAGCGGATGACTTCAATGAAGGCAAGGATGATGACGATGGCCTTCAAAGGTGATCCAATGCCTCACTGACGGTTCGCAGACTTCAGGGTCTCACAGTTGGTCGGAAGTACACCGCAAGCGGTCCATCCAGGATCGCAAAAGAACCGGTGCAGTCTGTGAAGGTGGTCACTGGAAAGGAGATCCAAAATGCCCAGAAGGCGCAATTCCGATCGATGGACAGCATTGATTTGTTTCCAGCGCAAGTTCGAATTTCAGAAGTTTGGAAGCAGTTGAGCCAAGACGATGCTTGGCAAGACCCCTCACTCTGAGTTGATGCTTGTTTGCAGCAATCTCTGACCATCAAGGAGGTTGCAAGCATGGCAGTGGCTGGCCCTGCCGTTCCCAAACCCTGCAGGACCTTGCCATACAACCCAGCAAGCGTCCGGCGCAGATCATTCAGCGAAGCGGCAACAAGCGCGGTCGGTATGCAAAACGCAGGCAGCCCTGGGACGAAGCGCCTTTTGGAAAGCCTTTGTTACTGCCCTTGCCCCCCGGAGAATTCCTTGGTGATTATGATGCCCCCTTCCACCGCCCGCAACCAAGGCACAAGCAGTCACGGACAAGCCATCGGATCCCAGTGACGAGCACATCGGCGCCCTCATGTGCGGTGGCCCTGCGTGACACCTCTGCTGATGGGAGCAAGAGCGAAGTCCAAGCCGTGCTTCAACAGTCGCTCGAGCGGGGGACTCGGACGAGGAGTACTGTTGGGGTCCGGTTTGCTTCGGCGTTATGAATGGGAATGCAACAGGTCGCTCGTTCAGGACGTTGCGCCGTCGCTGCCTGGCAACAAAGAATGCATCCTCGGCAACTTGGACGTGTGACGTGAGCAGGATTCCGAAGTCGAGCTTCTTGGCAGCGTAGGGAAGGCGTCAACGCCCTCGGCTCCGTACGCGCAGCATTGCGCACGCTAGTGTTCACATTCAAATTCACGAGGAGAGGATGGCAGGCTTTTCCAAGCCTAGGCCTCAAAACATCCTGACCCAGACTTCAGTAAAAGTGTAGCATCTCTCGCTCCTCCAACTCCTGCAAGCGGCGCAGCCAGTTCACGTTCCCATTGCGCTCCAAAGTCGGCGTGGCTACGTCGCACGCAAAAGAAGAGGTTGGCGCTGCACAACACATGCTGAACTGTGTCCGATGACAGGTCGAGTATTGAAGGTCAAAGGGCTGCAGTGGCTTTGAGGTCAAACGAAACGCAGTCGAAGTCAAAGGCGCTGCTCCCAAAAAAAGTTCGAGCTTGCCGCCAACAGAACTGAACGCGCCACGGCCAGCTCCCAGGTGATCCAACAACAGTAGCCGACTTTGACTAGAGACAGTCAGGTCACCATCAATTGCAGCACTCCCACGGCTGCGATTGCTTTTACCTCGACAGTGCCCAGATGACCATCACGATGGACAAAATGTGTGTTGACAAGTGTATCCTGGCCATCCAGAAGAAGTTGGGTGGATGGAGGAGTGAGGGCAAGGGGATCTTCAAGGATCGCATTCTGCGACGGAGACTGCTTCGCTTGCGGATGGCCAAGTTGGAGGCCTATAGCGGCCAAGGGGCGATGTGTGC